ACACAAAAACACAAAAACACAAAAAACACAAGCACAACCACAAACACAACGACAAAGACAAGCACAAAAACAAGCACAAGCACAAGCACAAGCACAAGCACAAGCACAAGCACAAGCACAAGCACAAGCACAAGCACAAGCACAAGCACAAGCACAAGCACAAGCACAAGCACACACACACAAACAAAGACAAACACAACCACAAAAACAAAACAACAACAAACATAAACACACACACACACCTACCTTCGGCATTTCGTGTCCATGCTAAGTGCAGGTGATTCGCGTGACTCTGTGGTCTGGAGATGTCCGTAGCTCGCGTCGCGGATTGGTCAGCAAGCGCTTCACAGGAGCGGGTGGGCGAGGTTTGCAAGGACTTGGCACAGTGGCTCGAGCAGCTGGCGATGCTGCTCTCTCTGTGAGCCCAGCCGTGTGTTGCATGACATGTGTTGATGCATCCTGTTTTTTGCTGTGCAGAGATGTGTGGGAGGTATCACATTCACATTCTTGACCTGGAGGGAGACCGAGGGCGCCTAGCAACGGAGCTTCGGACCACGAAAGCCAAGTATCAGCAAGGCGACGAGGCGGACATCAAGTCCACGAGCTTCGCTGGTTTGCAAGTTAAGCTGTTGCTCGTTGTCTTAGCAGCTGAGCGGCTGTGTAATGATTGCAGTGCCCCTGTTCCGTGAGTCTTGGGCTGCTGGTCATGTTTTCGCCTGACCAGGAGAAGAAGGACGCCGTGCGTCGGTTTCAGGCACGAGCGCAGGGAAAGACCACTCAATGATGTGTTTGTGCAGTATAGTGTACATACCCGATATGCGTCACCAACTACAAGTTCCCATTGTTTCCATTCATTACAAAAATGAGTCTATGCCCGGTGAGACATGGTGTGATGCCGAATTTATTGTTTGCTTGGTGCCTTCGTAGTCGTAGTCTTGCACTAACAGGAAATCGAAGCGCGATGGAATGAGGAGAAGATGAAACGAAGGGCTGAGGTCAGGACACGGATTTCATGGAAGTGCGGAAGTGCCTGCTAGGCTGTGCAGAGCGCATTACAGAGGCATTTGCAAGACAAGCAGAGCAAGCGAGACTGGTGGACTCTGTGTCGAGGTCTTGTTCGGAGTCAGCTGCAACGAGGAGGCCACTTTGTGATGTAACCGGTAGCAGTCCACCACTGTCAATCAGTGTTTGACAGTTAGCTTGGCTGGCTTTTGCGTCAAGGTAGACTCTGAGTGCCTGCTGCGTCACGCTATGTGCACACAGTAAGTTGTCTTGACTACAGCACTCCTTGCAGGAACCTAAGATTTACAGCCAAACGGAGGTGGACGACATGTACGAGCCGCTCGTTCTTGCATCAAACCTGCTGCTCAAAACAGTCTTAGGGGAACTCTTCATGGTGGCTCGAGTCGTTGTAGATTGCAAATGGGGAACAGACTTCAATCGCCACCGACCTCTTGTTACCCACAGGGGACCAGCACTACATTGCCAGAAGTTGTTACAGCTGCCCTAGATCGTCTTCGGTTCGAATTCGTTTTTGGTTTGAAGCAAAACAGGCCGCAGAGAGAGAGAGAGAGAGATACCTGTAGCCATTTTGGGCTCAAGCTCAGGCGCCACTATCCTAATTAAGCCCCTCAGCGCGGCGATAGTGACGGAACGTCGCAGCCCCCAGCGTCACCGTCGTGCTACCTACAGCGACCTCCGCGACCTGATCCCGGACTACCCCAACGCCGAGTTTCACTCCCAGTCTCAGCAGCAAGCGGGGCCGGATGACCCCGAGGACAACATGATCCAGGAGAACTGCCACAACGAGTTTTGCGACAAGTCCACCGAGGTTGCCCCGGACTGCCCGCCACACTGCCAAGGGGACCGTCCTTCTTTCGTGTCTTTTCCGATGAACCGTGGCCTGCATCCAAACATCGATGTTTTCGTGGATTTCCCAGAAGTCGGAGGCGAACACCACGAACATCAGCTCCCAGCACGTCGCGAGAAGATCAGCTGGGGAAACGGCCCCTACGACAGATGCCGAGGACCCAGATGTCGGAGATGAACACCACGAGAAGATCCGCCAGCACAAGAAGGGGAACGGCCCCTATGGCAGAAACCGAGGACCATGGCCAAGTTGCTCCTGCCTTTCCTTCCGGAGAGCTGCCCACCTTCACACCACAGCCACGGAGGCGCTTGCACCAGCTCTTGCAGGAGCGTGATGAGCAAGGGAATGTCCCCTTCGACCTGGGCAAGTAAACGCCACAGATGAAGCGAAATGGAAGGCCTATAGAAAAGGCCACTAAACAACACTATCGGGAGCATCGTCGGGAACAGCGTCGATTACAAGCGTGGAGGCCTGATGCCGACAGGGCCAGCAAGAAGCACAAGCAGTACTGAGGGGCCGTAATGAGATGCGGGGGGGGGAAAGCCCAACCGTGTGTGCCGTCTTAGTGCGCTCTGAATAAAGGGCTTGCTTCAGGCACGCTTTTCACTTCTGTTTGGTTCTTGTCTGCTTACTGCACAGCAAGCTCTTTACCCAATCCTGACCTACCGGCCTCAGTACAGAGCTTTTCTCCAACTTCGCTAAACACCTTCTAGGAGGGTGACACTCTCCCTCCCGATGTTGCTTTTCCATGTCAGACGCGCCGCTGGAGCCTCCAAATTCCTCGAAAACCCGCCCCCTCTCTGGGGCTTTGCAGGGTACCCATGTCCGAAATTAACTGGCCGGTGAGGTTTCTTCGCCAAACAGTCAGTCAGTCAGTTGCCAGCAGCCTACCATGGAGGTGGGGATATATGCCGTTTGCTTGTACCCAGCTTTGTGGCTTCTTCTGCCCTTTTCATCCCAATGCTCTGGCCTGGCATGGTGGCCTTTTCGAGCCCGCTCTGCATCGGGGAACATCCCCACATCCAAGGCTTACCGAGGGCCATACCTTTGCCTCCCTTTGGCCAGGGGCATCAGCAGGGTTTTTCTGCTTCTAGTTTGTTGTTGCCGTCTTTTTTGTACGAAACGAAGCCTTCGAGTGTGAGCCTGCAGCGTCTTGGCACCCGCAACAGTTGGGCGAAAGAAAGGAGAGAGAGCGGGAGAACGCAAAGCCCCCTTTTTGCTCAAGTCGTGGAGCCCTTCTTCTCGGCGGGGGTCGGTGGAAGCCTGTGCAGTTGACCGACCCTTCCAGGCTGGAAACTCGCCGTGGCTGCACCGCCTAAGTGGCGTCACGCAGCCGGGGTTAGCACCACAACAGCCCGAACATGAAGGCGGCCCCCGAAGAAAGAAGGCGAGGACACGGCAAACAACCATGAACCTCGAGAAGGGCAGTCCCCTGGCTGAATTGGGCTTGCGGCACGAGAGAAACAAAGCAAGCCACCGTGACCGCTGGGCCATCGGCCCGGTACCAGCAGAGGTGAGATCGAGCGATAGGTGGACATCCGTGGGTGGAAGAACGACCTCAGGAAAGCACAGCAACAGTGGCAGTGCCTTGCGGGTAAACAAGATCGATCCTCCAAGTTGAGCCCCCGTCGACGACTGGGACTGCGCTTCACCTCATAAGGGGCTACGTCAATGCAAGTACTGGACACTCAGGTGTGAAGTTTGGCGCTTGATTTGCTTGTTCGTTGGGTGTTGTTCGTTTTCAGGAGATCTCGTTGATTCGAGTCTGTACGACCCTGCTTTGAATGCGTGATTCTCTCAGCCAGGGCGTGGTCGTGGGATTGCAGAGGCTTCCATGTCGTGATACCGATCTTTGTGTTGACTTGCTTCGGGGGACACCCCTGACATGTCTTGTCCCATTTAAACCTGCAACGAGGGCGGACCAGGTCCCCGAAAGGGCAAGTGGCGGAGTTGCTCACCGTCCCGTAAACGCGCGGAACGAATGGAAGGGCGAGATCTTCATGCTTGGGTTGGGCCTGAAGTGGTCGGGCAGAATCGGTGAAAGGCCCTTGTTCGGTCTATATGCACGCAGAAACAGTTGAAGGAACTAACCTTGGTGGGATGCGCATGTTGGCGTGCAGGTGCCTCAACCCCTAGGCGCTGAGCAACCACACAACCAAGCAAAAGCAAGCGACACTTGTCTCTCCTTGGAGCAGTGATCCCGTGCTTGGTCCGAGGCTCTGTTGCTGACCGGAGTTGAGAGGTGGGTGGATTAGGTCGCGAAGTTCGGCGGCCGTTGCAATTTGCAGAGAGTGTGTTGTCCATGGACTCATGGACTTTAGATGCACAGCGAAATCTGTTTGGGCGTGGGCAGGGGGCGGTGGGCAGTTTTTGAAGTTGCACACGGGGTGTCAAGGAGATGGCTGATGCAGCTTTCTCTTTGTTGCGCCGATTGGCCCGAAAACTCCGCGGGGGGTTGACAGGGGCAGGCCCTAGAGAAAGAAAGAAAAAGACCAGGGCTATCAGACTGAAGAACGCGAGCCGTCGGGGTAGGCCTCCGGACCACGGGATCTTTGGGCTCCTAGACCCCTCGCAGGCAAGCAAGCAAGACCACACCAGGGGTGGGGCAACAGAACGTCGACGGTGCACGGACATGCTTGCCACTCATACAGACATGTTGCTGGGGGGCACTTCAAGCCGGAAGTCAAAAAAAAAAAGCGAGCTCGACAAGGGGATAACAGAGGGAGAGAGAGAGAAACCAACATAAAACAGAAAGAGACTTGGCCATTGAAGTCGGTGGCCAGTTCATAAAGAAGAATGATCAGGGCAAGCTCACACACAGGCTGAGCGGGCAAACGCACTCAAACGAGAGAACAAGGCTGACCGAATTAGGTACTCATAAATAGTTTCGCCGCAGAGGAAGCTACAGAACTGCAGGGCCGTGCACAAACGGGATCGAAAGCTTGAGGCAGTGGAAGAAGGAGCAGGTGGATCCGCTGTTGGACGAGATCAAGGCAGCATGGATGCCAGCAAACCGTTTCGATGGTCATACGTCGCTCCGGCTTCGCTGCGCACAACCTAGGCGCTGAGAAAGGCGCAACGCGAGCTTTTGGCGAAGATGGAGGCGCGGCTTGCGTGCATAAACAAATCAGCTTTCCACTTACTATCTGACAAGGTTTGCTGCATGTGGAGAGCTGCATTTTCAATTCGCAGGCCATGAAGTACGAGCGGGCTTCCCGCAACTCTATCCAGCAGGCCGGTCCAGGTGTCGGACTCCATAGTTACTGGGCCCATTGCATTGCGTTGCCCAAGCTGTTCTTCCCATGGTTTTGAGCTGGTGACGACGAAGAAGGGCTGCAGCAACTAAAGCGAGGGAAAGCTGGACAGTACTGGACAGGAAGACGAGCCGCTCATTGGCGAGGCAGAGTTTCGACTGCTGCAGTCGGCCCTGAAAGCTTCTTCAAGCAAGGCTGGTCTGTGGAGTGAATGGAGTGACGGATCTTCTGCAGGTGATGTATGGTTTACTGATTACTGTATGAGTAGTGCTTGCTGTTTGGGTTGATCGAGACCAGGTGTGTTGATTAGTAGTGCGCTTCTGCTTGCTGTCTCCGGCTTTCCGTGTTTGGGTTCTCCCTGGAATGTGCACCTTTCTCGAGATTTCTGGTGCTGTTTCAAGGGCGCTTGATTCTCGTGAGGTGCTGGCGGTATGATGCGCTATGCCGGTATGCTATCATAGCAATTCGGCTTTGCTCTTTCTTCAATGTTGTTCTGAAATGCTCTGCCTTTTGCTTCTCGCATATTGCGTGCAGCTTGTGGCTTATAAAGCATGTTGACATGTGTCTAGCAGTTTGTGCGAGCATCTCGTGGTGACATGGACGCACACTGCGAGAGTCAGTTCAGTCAGACTCAGAACTATGACCAAAATTCGGCAGCACTCGTGTCGCTGTCACCTCGCATCTGGGGCGGGGGGTTTAGCTGGCAGCTCGATTCCAAATTAAAAACACCATGGTAGAGTTGCTTGAGCTTTCAGAAGCAGTGCAGGCACAAGAAAGCATGCAGTGCCTGCAGGTCTGGGGCGATCTCAGCCCACTGTTGACTCGCATGGCAGAGCAACTTGTTGGAGTTTCCTCATGCTGTCGGAACTCCAGAAACACGGGATTGCGAGACGACTTGCGAAATGTCAGGCAGAGAAAGGCATCCTCTTATGTTACATATGTTGTTCGTGGAGTCGAGCCCAGAAACGCTTTCTAAAGGAAGGTAACATGCAGAGACACGGCAGGGGCTTGCGCATGCATCCTCGGATCTCAGGTCTCTGGCCACCGGCAGTTCTGACATGCGAGAAATACTAGGCTCCATCCAGGCGAGTCCACAGCTGCCGGTGTAAACTGGAAGCGCATGGCACTTCTCGCTCTTGGCAGGCCTTGCCGGATGCTGGGCCACCAGAGGTCGTTGAGAAAGACCCTGCGACACAGGGCTTCAACTCAGAGGTAGGGATTTCTTTCGCCGCAAGTGACTACGCTACGTTTTCAGTGTGTTTTTTCGAGACCCAAGGATCCCGGAAGGGAGCTCAGTGATCGGCCCGGAGACTCTGGAGTGGCTTCAGAACCTTTGCTGCAGTCTTGGAGACCGTTGCCTACGGTCCTGCCGTACTGGGAGATGCTTCCGCTTGCCTGCTAGCGAAATCAGCACACCCTGCGTGCAGCAGGCTGGTCTCAGTACTGTTGTCGCACCCTGTAACCGTTCAGACATCGGCATGCTTCCAAAGACCAGCGAGGCAATTTGTTGTCCCTTTGGCAAGGATTGGCTTAAAAGCCTCCGGCAAGCACGTGTCGACGGAGCTCGCGAGCTTGTTAACACAGATGGGCCAGAACCTCGTAGCCACTTCGGCAAGCATTGCTTCGCTTAGGATAGTGACGTAATGCCGCTCGCTCGGGCGGAGTGCAGCAGGCGTACATCGTGTCATATAATATCTCAATGGCTCAATGGTGGCCGAGATCAACCGAAACGACTGTACTCCGATAGAATTTTGACTGCTGCGAGTAATGCAGTCGCACCCAGGCTGGCGGCGGCGAAATGCAGAGGGTGGCCCAGACCATCCAGAAGCTGCCGCTGCCGACACCGCCAACCACTGGGGACAAGTCCTTTGGATTCTGTTATGACACGTGTCTGGTTTCTCTAAAATAGGTCTCGTACATTACAGGAGCATTTACGGGTCCAACTCAACAGTGTGCACCTGCGAAATGGCACACATCGGATGCAGCGCCCTGCTCCCACGAATTCCCAGCAGCCTCCAGGCCGTCCTTGCGCTCCACGGGGGTCAATACAACTCAAGCGGTTGTTTTGCCGAGCAGGCCCAAGGACCGTCACTTCCCGCATTGACATTGACTAAACAATCCTGGCAGTACGTGTCACTGGCCACGCGATTCAGCAGGAGCCCAAAGATCCCGAGCCGGTTGAGGCGGCGCCTGTCGAGCCACAGCGCGACTTCGAAGGCTGGTGCGTTGCTCCAATCTCACTGCGAGCTGTCATCTCCTCGTGTGTTCTTCGAGCGTATGGTTTCGGTTGCAGGTCCTTAGGGCTCAAGGTGATTAGCCGTTTTGGAGTTCACCATGTCGGGGCCTTCGGCACCGCTTTCTGCCGGTAGGGTCTACAGGCCCGAAGACCCGGCCGACCCGGCCGAACAGCGGAAGAAAGCTGCTTGGCGCGCTCTCCTGGTCTTGCGCCGGATGGCTTCAGTCAAGGGAGTGGCAGACCAAATGAGCCAGCGTGCGGCGCAAGCCATGATGAAGTCCTGGGGTGTTCCTGCCAAAGGCACTCCAAACCCACATGCTCTATCTTTGGAAGCAGCATTAGGGGACACTTCGCAGAAGACCACCCTCTTCCTCGACGCATTGGTCGCCAGCCAGAGGCCTGGTGTAGCCCCTGCGCAAGCTTACCCACTGCTTCCGCCCTGGGTGAACACACCAAGTCCTGTCAGTGTGATTTTGCCCTACTGCTTGGCCGTTCGCCTGAGCCCCATACCATTGGTGTGCGACAGGGAGCTTCAGGAAAACTTCTCTCGCTTGGGCATCGAAAAGATGACTCGCATCTCAGGTCTTGAAATCTGCTTGCACTCGCGCTCGTTGCCCATCATCGCAAACCTGCTGAACCTGCACGGAGCTTTCAGCGGCCTGCAGGTGAGACTGGACACACCCATGCGTTGGGATGAGAGGCAGCAGACAGCAATGCAAGGAGTGACCCTGCAGCCTCAAGAAGTTCCAGTGCAATCTTCCCCATTGCCGGCGCATCATGACAGCTTGCGCACGAGCCCGGATGCAAGTCCCCGCGATCCCGAGAGTGAGGGCGCAGGCGATGCAGGGGCGAATCCTGAGGCGACAATGCAGCGCCTGATGACAGATGGGGGTGATGTGGACACACGGGCAATGTCTTTGCTTCACAAGATGCTGGGAAATTCTGAGGCACAGGATGTTTTACCTAAGAACAGAGCAAATGGTCGCGCCGTGCATCGGCCGAAATTCAAGCCGTAGCTGCACTGCATATATCCTCGTTAGCTTTCGTTCTGTCTATCTGCGAAACTGTGCTCCATGGGCGTTCAAATCGTTCTTGTAGCGCACTGTCATGGCTGGCAGGTCCATGACATGACATGGGAGGTTCCCAGGTTACTGTCGCCAAGAGCTGTATGTAATCCCCATCGCTGCAGGTGCTGTCGTATTGGGATGCATTGGGTTCGGGATCAGTGGCATTTCTTGATAAGCTGGCTGTGGGGATTGGAACACGTTCTACTGGGTCTACTGCTGACCTCCGACTGCATGACAGGACAAGCGCTTGTAATCTTTCGCTCGAGGCAATCCCAGACAATGAGAGGAAGGTATCAGGCTTGGAATGAGCATACAGTTTGCTCCTGAATCAGCGGAAGTCTGCGTGAGAATTTGTAGCACGTGCGCCGCGCTCCCCGAATGCTGAACGTGCAACAGGCCCTTTGTGGCATCTTCCTTTGAGCATGCATAATGTAGCAAGCGAGAGTCCCGATGTACGCCCCTGCATCTTTAGCTATTGTGCAGTCGTTGGATGTCATCTCTGCACAACTCGTGCAGCAGCAGCAGAGAGCTTTCTGTCTTGTGTTGCAGCTCATGCTTCTGGGAGCAGCTAGGTGCAGTTCTCTCTCGTACCCATTCTGAGAGTGGCTGGGTTGTCCCAGCCCAGCTGCTTCCGCCCAGCCTTGTACTGAAGACGAAAGTCAAAACAAGGATGCACTCTTGAAGTTGGCAGCCAGGGGAGCTTCAGGGCCAAATCGCCGGAGCTAGTTACATCGCAGCATGATGGCCATAGCTGGTTCAAGTTGGTTATCTGTCTGTGGCTGTCGTTCGCCAGTATAGTGATCAACATTAATACAGAGTCCGTAGGCAAGGGATCGGCAGTGGCTCGAGACGAGTGTTTCTGGTTGTAGGCTGCAGGCAGCAGCTTGTTGAGACAGGGCCGTGCACGTTCAATAAGAGGCAGATCGTGGGCCAACATGGAAGAGGGCAACCTTGTTGCGCTTGGCTGACGTCTTCCGCAGACCCGATCCCTCAAAAGGATGCTCAACCATTGACGCCCATCCCGACAAGCAAACCATGCGTACTTGCATGCTTCGTGTTGCAGGATCGGGTCTGCTTGGCTGGATACCGTTACTGCAAGCGTATGCGCATTTAACCTGCCGATACTTGAACGCTGGCGCATACCTCATCATTGCCTGCTTCCTGTAAAATCTCGAACATTCAATGGAATGTTGGTACAGATCTCTCGGAAGTTGCGCTGTAGGCAGGAGTCATGCAGAGCCACCGACATGCTAGAGTATTAGTGTTGTGCAGGCAGGAGGCTAGCTAGCAGAACTGGAGGGCATTGTGTGCAGTGGCTTGTCTTCCACTCCTGTCTATGCGGAAGATGTGGGGTAAGATCCATTTGCAGAGATGTCATAGTGTGAAAATGAAGAAGCGACACGGCGTGCAGTTGGGATGCACGATTCGTGTTTGATCGAAGGCTGTACCGCTGGTTCTGAAGATGTTGCGGCTTCTGTCATAGATCCAAGCAACAGCCATCGTGCCAAGCGGTGTGATCACTCATTTTCATGGGTTCAACAAGCACAGGAGAACTTCGGCGACTTCGAGATCAGCTCGAGGAGCAAATCCGTCAAGCGCAGGCTGGGACTGGGACCAATGTCGAAAAGTCAAAGAGACCTGCCTCTTGAGTCTTTTTGAATGTGATGTTTCGTTGCGAGGCGGAGGCCGAGCGCCAGCGGAAGAGGGCGGAGGAGGCCATGAAGAAGTTGGAGGAGGAGATGAAGATCTTTGGCAAAATTAAAAGAAAAGCCCTGATTTGGAACACGCGATCTTGGTCAAGACCCCAAGGAAGGCCGAGCAGCTCATTGCGGAACTTCGGCGCAAGCTCCGCGAGTTGCAGGATTCTAGCCGAACATGGCTGCCCGTAGCGGGGGTGCAGATGTATGACTGATGGGTGCAGGTGTGGTCCGGTGTGAAATGCCAGGTTGACGATTCTGCCATGTGGGGACAGGGAGCATGGTAATCACCACGGCGGCTGCAGGTGGAACTTTGCTGCAGAGTGGTACGGCACGTGTGGAGTTTGGCCAGGAGCTCCTCCAAAAAGCTGGACTTGGCAAGCTGGTGCTGGACTTATCAAAAGAGCCACTTCTGTTTTCAACGCGCAGACTGCACACGGAATGCTTCGCCCAAGCGGGGTTGTGAAGTCGCAGAGCGCTTAGCTCGAGGTTGAAGAAGCGCTGGCTGCCTCTGGGCTGACGGACTTCTTGAAGGGCCGTGATGTGTTTGAGAGGCCCACTGCATCGCAGTTCAGCTCCAGCAAACACAGGGGTCCTTCGGTTCGCCTTCAGGGGAGCACTTAGTTACGGACCTCCCATGCGCACCTGCTGATGTTCTGCTCTCGTCACCAGGCTGTATCGGGATGCCTTGCGGCGCATGCGGACACAGGCGGAGATCCAGGCCCGCCTCAGCGAGGAAAGCGCCAATCAGTTTGTCCGGACGCTGCACGATCTGGCCAACCATCCCCTCGTCGCGATCGAGGCAGCCATGGAGCTGCATGGAGGCTCTCCGGGATCACCTTTTCAGGTGATGCGATTTTCTCCTGCTGAGACTCCCGGTGAAAGCGCCAAGCTCGTCAGATCCAAGACTGCGTTCTTGCCGGGTGAGCTGAAGGAAGGCGAGCGAACTGATGATGCCACGGCAGATGCTCAACGTCCTGGCAATGTACGACGGGCTTTGACACTGGCTTCAGGCATGGAGGAGAAAGCACTGGGAAAACATGGCGTGAGCCAACCCTTGCTGGCAAAACAGGGTTCTGGTTATGTGCGAATGGGTTCAGGCTTAAGCCAGCGCGCAGAAGGATCCCTTTTGGTTTCTCCAACCAGCTCTGTGAAAGCAAGATCACAGACAACTCCACCGTCTCAGAGCTTGACTTCTGCAAGGCCTTTGGCAGCTGGTCCAAGCTGGCCGTTGGGCAACCAGGCGATGTCCGTAGAGGGAAGTGGAAGCTTCACGCGCGCTTCGAGCAGAGGCTCTGACGCTGCCTCGTCACCAGTGGAGAGCCAATCGCCGCAGCAAGCTCGCTCGCAAAGTCCGACTCGTTCCCAGAGCCCGGGCCCGATTCCGAGCGGGCAGCGTGAAAGGCGTGAGAGCCTGGGCCTGCCTTTGCAGCCGATCCTCTCCGTCAGCAGTATCGGGCCCAGACCAGCGCCAAGTCAGCTCGTCCCGACCGTCCCGAATCCCAAAGGACCGCTGCATGGACCATCACCGATGTTCGCCTTGCTGAACCTTCCAAGCAAGACTCTGCCAGGATCGGCGAAACGCCGCGACAGCAGAAGCTCGCCTGGGCGCCTCGCCGGGCAGAAGGCATCGGAGGTGCTTCGATCTGCTGGCAGCTTAGCCATGCCTACACCTGCCGCTTGGCTTTTGCAGTCCCAGACAGAGCTTCGACATGGTTCTCCATCTTGAGATTCGCTATAACTTCCTGCAGTGCTGAAAGGTACGAACTGGTCAACATGCCAACGGCCCATGCAGCGTCAAAGCCGTGAAAACGTTTACGTCCGGCCAAGGTATCTCAGTCGAAGTTCCTGCAAGCCATCCAGGGCAAGAGACAAGCAGCGTGATCTTTTCTCCGGTGTTGCATTGCCGGATCTTCAGGTCTGTCAAGAGGTGCTATCGGTGATGTTAAAGCATGAAAGACCTAAGCCTTGGGCATTGCTGTGACGTCCTCCCAAGTGCAACAGACAAGTAGTCCGGTAATAGCGGGCTCACATGGTTCCTGTGCCCGTGAGAGATTACGACTAATTGCCCACGCGACATGTCCATTCGCTGAAGGCATGGTGCAACGAAGATCCCTCTGTTCGCAGATTCGCAGTACATGCCATCAGATCGTAGGTCGAAGATGACAGTTGCGTCATCGCACGAATGCTCCTAACAAATGTGTTTCTTGCACAGCTTGCCTGTCAGCAGAAGTGGACACATGTAACAGCCGCACGTTTTGTCTCTGCTTATTTCCGAGCGCATACATACATAATTACAAACAGACAGACAGACATACGGACATACATATGCACTTACACGTACATGTACATATACACTATACACGTACACATGCGCATAGATACGTACATACATACATACATACATACATACATACATATGTACGTACATACTTACGCCGTGCGCATATGCATATATGTATGAATGTATGTATGTATGTATGTATGTGCGTATGTATGTGTGTATGTATGTGTGTATGAATGTATTTATGTATGTATGTATGTATGTATGTGTATGTATGTATGTATGTATGTATTTAAAATAAATAAATAAATGTATGTATATATATATATATGTGTGTGTGTGTGCGTGTGCTTACATATTTAGATATACATACATGCACATATACAGAATAGATCAATCGAATAGATACTGCAACTCAATATAATGGAGTTTGCACAGCATAGCATAATGTAATACAGTATAATGTGACGTAATGAAACATAGCATGGTAGAGTAATAAACGCTGTAACAGATCTATAGCAGCGAAAATTGTATGATAATGGTTACTATGACATGTAATACACTGAAAGAAAACACAAACATGTAACACACACATATACATACATACAAAAATACATACATACATACATACATACATATCTATGTGTATATATATCTCTACACATGTACCCATACATGTAGATACAAGCATGCCAGAATAGATAGAGATGAAAAGCATTATAGTACATGTTATATTGAATTATACTGTATCTTGCTGCCATACACGTACATCCCTCTGAGTGTATATATATATAATATATGTTTGTATGTATATGTATATGTGTGCATATATATATATATGTACATATACCTATCCTTTGCATATGTATATGTATATGTATGTAGCTACGCTTCACTTCGTTACATTACGTTAAACTAGACTATATGTTGTAGTGTTATACCTACATTATGTTATCATATATAGTATTTACTATTTAGTGTCTATTTTGTAATGCTACATAATATATCCTGTCGTAGTATACTGTCTCAGAGTATTCCATGATATACTGCTTTAGAATATATCATGTAGGACATACCGTATAATACTATATTGTAATGTATCATATCACAACTCGTTATATTACATTATGCTTAATTAAACTATGCCACAGTTGCAATGCAACATACTCTACTATATTTCATTTGGTTAGATTGTGCTAGGTTGTATGTTAACGCATCATGTTATAATATGTTCTGTTACATTATAATATGCTTTGATCTAGTATAATATATATTTATTTTTGTTATTATTATTATGATGTTCTGTTATATTATGTTACGTTTATGATTCACTGTATTATGTTGAAATCCACGTTATATTATGATATGATGAAGTGCTACGTTTTGCATATTCACATTGCTTTACACATACATGCATATGCATATACATGTCGGTTCTGTATGTATATATGGATATATATATATATACATACAGACATACATATTTGCATACACACATGAGCTCATGTATGTATTTGGACATATTTATATCTAATCATGCATCATCGATTGCTCAAGCAGTGATATCTCTGAATGTCAAAGAGGGTCAAGGTTGTTGCAGCAGTCTCTCCGACGAGAAGCTGTCCGTAGCAACAACGACAACGACTGTCGAAGACAGTTGTTTCGATGCATTTTTGCGGCATGATTGGTCTCTGGAAGCTAACCCCCTCAAGACTTGAAGTTGTCCCAATGCAGTACAGTCCCTGCCTGTCGGGTCCCATCTAGCAATGCAGGAGGCAATTCCAGTGCAGAGACAATGTCTCCTCCACAAATGAAATCGGGGGTGGTTTGCGACACCAGTTTCCTTGTGGCTGCCGACCATGCAGCAGGATACGACACATCACAAGCGAGTCTCGAGTAAAGAGTATTGTGCTCACGAATAGTTCTATGCTGTTGGAACCCTCTGCCGGGGAAGTGCAGCACTGTAACAAAAAGCCATTTATTGCGAACCCCGTGAGCTCAAGATGCAGCGCTATGGAATTATTAAGCAGGCAGGTGAACCTGCAAAAGCTGATGTGTCGGCTCATAGGTTCTAGGATCAATTATATGGCTTTCGGCAGCGAGATGCTCGCAGATGCCAAGTTTCACGTGCTCGATAGTGCCATGATGAGATATTTGGCGAGTGAGGTGGTAAAAGCGCTTGCGTGCAAAGCGGCTAGATGTTTTCCACAATCCAGCTTGATTTTAGTGCAGTTGCTGGTGGCGCTCGTGCCGGGGCTCAGCCAAGGAGAGGCTGGGCAACCTTGACACGACCTGGTCCACCCGCCACCGGACGAAACAGCTTGCCATGTTGCAACCTCCCGGGGTGTGCGACATGTGCCAAGGTCTGGCGGAAAGCGCCATAGCTGTGCAGAACAATCAGGCGGGAAGCGTCAATTGCATTCCGCTCAGTCGTTTGAAGCTACAGGCAGTTCCCAGCAAGGAGGGCTGATGACGCATGTCTCTTTTTATTTGCGCAACAAAAGACCATGATTTGCTGAGGCAGGTGAGCTACAAACGACTGTGCTAAAGCATACAGTTCAGGGTCACTTGTCAACAACTTGTCGCAGACTCACCGGGATCTACAAGTTCCTACATGTCCTACTTGGAATTAACGGCCATCAGCAGGCACTTGCAACTCGTGTGTAGCTGCCAGCCTCCGATCCCAGCAAACCGCGGAGGCCAACATTCAACATCTACAAGAGATGCTCGATGCCATGGTTGGTGGACAGATGCCTGGTGCAGTTTCAGGCTCTATTCATTTTTTTGGGGGATCGTCGCCCATCACCGTGTGTATGGATCTTTGCCCGAGCTCCAAGCCCTTCGGTCCAGGGTGTTTGCGTGATGTTACTAGTGCTGCCATGTTGAGGACCAGTGTGGCGTCCAACGAGTCCAACACCACCAGCACCACCGAAACCTCCACGATGCCAGACACCACGGCCGATGCTGGCAGCGAAGGCGACCTGACAGCCGACAACCTGACGACCGACAGCCAGACGACCGACAGCCAGACGACCGACGGCCAGACGACTTCAGATCAAGAATTGGAGGATCTGGCACAGCAACCTGGCTGAGCATCTCCAGAATTGCACACTGGGCCTGCAGCAACAGTTTTGGCGCTCCGAGCGGCAGACTGTCATGTAACATGTACTTAGGTTCACTACGCCCAAGCTTGTGGGTGAGCTCAAGGATGCTCACCTGGTACTTGTCGCGCTTGCCTCTGCACAGACTTGTTTTGCAAGTACATGTTGCAGAGGGACTCACTGCAACTCCCTACGGCCCTACGGCCTTTCATGAGTGTGGATGGGCTGTAGCACAAGGTTCAGTTGCATACCCCCGAAAGCAAGAACGCGAGCACTTCCGGCATGATCAGAGCGAATGGTCCGCAGCATGATATCCAGGTGAGCAATTCTTTAATTTCTCCCAGACGGGTTGAACTTGACGATGTGGGCTTGTCGCCCTTTGCATCGGCAGGAGCAGCCAGATCTCACGGGACCTCGAGACGTTAAAATCCACGCAGGGAAAGCGCAAGCCTTCGTCGTGACGTCGACGAATCCTGGACTCAGTGTGGCGCCTCGGATATATGGAAGGCACGGTTTAGTTCCAGGTCCTATCCGAAAGTCGTAGCGTGGATTGTGTTGTTGTATGTCGTTGTCGTTGCCGATTGCCGATCAGAAAGGTCAGCCTGGCAGATCCAGCGCATCCAGCGATAATTGGCTCAGTGCTCCTAGGCCGAAGCCAGGATTCGATGGGCCTACATGGCGCCAGACTGAACCTCCGATGTCCGACTTCGAGCTAGCTTGTCACGGTGATTCCCGCGTTTCAAGTCCCAACTTGATGTCTCGACCCTCAACCCCCTCCCGGAACTCGTGGCTGCCGAGGCACAATGCCAATGCCATGGCCGAGGTGCTCGCCCGATTCTGGCTGTAGTCGTGTGTGAATGAATGAATGAATGTATGTATGTATGTATGTATGTATATAATATATATAATATATATATATATATATTATATAGAGAGAGAGATACATATGTATATACACATGCGCATACAA